TTTTTTGTCTGAAGGAATTGTATATTTTATAATGTAATTCTTTTTTTGTTACAGTCTCTTCAATTTAGAAAAGAGGTCCTTCAAATTGCAATATATAGCATTAGGTAGCTAGTCAAGTGAAATGCTGATATGTATATATAAGAAGAAAAAAAAAGTGGGACGATAAAAGAGTTGTATAGTTTGAGCAACAAAGCAAGACTTTTTCCTTTTTCTCTCTTAAAAAATTATTTTCCTTCTCTCTTCTTTTCCTTCGCCTAGATCTACTTTTCGGTCGGCGTCGGTGAGCTTCTACAGTCACGGTGTCGGTCGGGTTTGCTTATTTTTAGTTGGTTTATGCTTTTGCGGTGGTTTTCCCTAGCCTCTCTTTCCTGATGAGGTTGCTTTTGGTATGTTGGCAGATGGTGGTGCGTGATCTTCAAGCAGTGTTGCAGATCTGAGGAATCATGAGGGTGTGGTCATCCAGCTTTGGTTTTTGGCTGCTGCCGCTCCGGTTCTCATAGTTTTGCCTTAGATCTATCCTTGGGGTTTCAATGGGGTTTGGCTCTTTGTTATCTGAGGTTTATGGCTGTTCGTTTCATAGCTCTTCTGTTTACTGATGCTTTCAGTTTTAGGAGTTAACTTTTCTTAGGCTATGGGTTAGTTGAGGTCTTAGTGTAGCGCTTTTTTCTTCGAGAAAGTATCGGTTATGTTGAGTTGTCTGGTGAGGATCATTTTTGATTATCTCCTTTTATGTTCGTTGAATCTATAAAATTAGTCTTCTTCTTCCGCTTTTTAGTTTAGATGGTTATCGAGTTTTCTTCTGTGGTCTTTTCCTTTTCTGTTCTTGTAAGGCTAAGCCTCTTGTCTTTCTTCTTGACTTGTGGGTATGCATAGTCTAGATTTAGACTCTCTCGGTAGAAGATTAGGTGGGTATGAGTTTAGATTCTCGTCTGGTGCATTTTAATTTCAGGGTAATCGTTTAATTTGGGCTTCTTCTTCGCGGTTTCTTCTATCCTTGGGTCTCTTTCGTTATCGGTTGTAGATCTTCTCGACAGTGTCCACTACAAGAAAACATGGATTTAGTGACCACAAGAACAGTCGCTACGTAGTCGCTAAAAGTCCATTAACGGCTTATTAGCGACTAAATCAATTGGTCGCTAATGTTGCGTCGCTAAATAAAATAGTCATTAATCAGTCGCTACATAGCGACTGACTAATGACTAACGCCTCTCGAAGGAAATTAGTCGCAAATCAGTCGGTAATGTTGCGACTGAATAACGACTACAGTTGAGACTCAACCGCGACTAACTAGCGACTATAATTATATTTTCAAACGGTAATTTGGTGCAATTTAACGACCGCTTATCGACTAATTCCCGATAACTTTGCGACTGTTTCACTATTGCATTGCGACTGTTTTCATAATGAAAATACATTTTGGTATCACGAATTATTTCTCCAAAACTTGTAATTTGAATCCGCTTATAGATTTTTTAAAAAAATTGTTTCACATAATAATTTGAAACTATATATATGAAAACAAAAAGCATAGAAACCTTAAATTACATATGTTCACAAAAAAGAGATCACATACAAAGTCAAATGTCATAGTAACTTCCATTGGAAAATGAGTTACTATATACAACCATGGAGATAAGTTTAAAAGGAGATCAAAGTCATTGAAAAAGTTCTAGAGCCTATGATTCCGAGAGATTACTAGAGAGCATCATTGATAAGAGTTCAAAGGAGACCAAAAGAATTGAGAGAGGTAGAGTAACCTATGATTCCGCGAGATGAGTGGTTTGAGGAGCAGAAGTCATCGGAGAAGCATTTGGCTTCTCAGAGGTATTGTTTGCGTCCAAAAAGTCTAAAAACCCTGGATCAGTTGCAGCCAAATACCTTTCGACCAGGGAGAGTTTGTCGATCTTGGCTTGTTGCTCTGCAGAAACTCTTGTAAGGTCGGACTTTTGCCTTGCATTCTCAGCTGCTTGTTCTTCTATTTTGCGTTGAGCTTCTTCTAGCTGTTCTTGCAGAGTCTTGTATGTTGAAGAGCTACCCGGGTACTTCCTCTTTCCATTGATATGCGACTGTGAAAGGCTTTCAATTCCATATGGAATGCCTCTTTCATTTGTGAATGTCGACTGCAACAACAAAAAATTGATTCAAACAAAAAAAACAAAATGATCACACTATATTATAAAATAAAAACTACAAACCAAAAACGAGGATTTACCTGGAGAAAGAGGTCGTTCTCCTCTTCTACGGTTATCTCCTCTAAAGCATCTGAGTCTAGTGTCCCTTGGTTCCTCTTATACCTTTCAGCCACGCTCTCTGCCTTTCGATCTACAAAGGTGTCATCTGCTTTTGTATGAGTCTTGATAAAAACTTCACCAAGACTCACCGGTGTTCCCAATTCTTCTTCCTGAAATGATAAGAACAAGATGCAAGAGTTAAAAGTTTAAAAGGATTAACTGAGTGATTAGGTATGGATATAGTACTTACCATTTCTTGTTGGATTTGTAGATATATATGATTTTTTCCCTGACACGTGTATGTGAGGGCCAAGACCCTTACGTTCAGACAGCCGAGCCCCTGATGTGGTTGCACTCTTCTCTTTGGCTTCTTCAGCGTTCCAATACTAGGTCATTTGTTTCCTGAGAGTATCACCTATCCAATTAGGTTGCTCCCGAGAAGTCCTTACTTTGCTTACCATATCTTTCATCCTTTGTTGACATATACTCTGAAACTTTTGTTGAATAACACCAGTTATTAAGGGATCCCAAGTGTGTGTTTTCTACAAATAACATGAGAGAATATGATGTAAGTGAGCAAACATAAAAGATGAAAAACTGAATCAAAGCTACAAAAAAAGAATATATTACCGCGAATTCAACGAAGTACCGCTCCTGTCTTTCCCGAGGCTTACATGTCCAGCTATAAAAAGGACCATCGAACTTGTTTGTAAAGACTTTGGTTATCTTACGGGTCAGTGAAGACTTGTCACGACCAAACCTACAAACAGAGAAACAATCAGTTACAATAATGACTCACATATGCACTTGTACATATCAAATACATGATGCAATATCACATACATGATGCAATATCACATACATATGCAATATCACGATGCAATACACGATGCAATAATATCACATATGCACTAATACTAACCAAAACATGCATCATTTTCAAACAAGACACATATCACATGAAGCTACACATCCTACACATCCTACACGAAGCTACACATCCTACATATATGTGTGAAGCTACACGTCCTACACATCCTATACGAACATAATAAATATCACAAATCAAACAAGCTAAACATCCATCACACAATCTATCGTTCCATTGCAGCTCAACATGATTATTGTTAAGAACACTAAGTTAAGAGAGAGAGAGAGGCGTACCATGTTGTATTCGGCCTCTTTATTGGAGAGAGGACTGTCGTAAACTCTTCTCTGCCAGGTTGAGTGAGCATAGCATTGATGATTCGCAGCTGGTCCTCCGTGAGATTGGCTGGGACTAGGTCTTCTTCTTCTTCAAAGGTGGCTCCTTCATCCGCTTCAGAGTTGTTAGGTTCAAACGCTGGAGATGTTTGTCCTTCAGACATTGGAGAGGGTCGGTGATGAGAGTGTGTAAAGCTTCGTGGTTGAGGCAGCGGAGAGGTACGAGTTTAAGACCGTGGAGAGTTGGCAGGTTGAGACTCGGAGCTCCGACGTTGACTCTGTGAGTGCTAGAAAAGATGATTAGGCGGTGGATAATCCCTCACCGAGACCGATGGTTGGGATGTGGGTACAAGCGGTGGTGGAGATTTAGATGTTCTCGCCGGAGTGAAATCGTACCGATTAGGAAGAGGGGATGGAGTTCTGGCTTGCAAAGAAGATGCACCACCTCTTCCTCCTCTTCCTCATCCTCTCTTCCTTCCAGGGCCACCCATCTGCGAATAGATTGAGAGAGAGGAGAAATGAAATCGATTGTGTCGATTAGGGTTAGGGAAAGAAGGGGTTATGTCGATTAAATGGAGGAGAAACTGTTTTAGAGAAGAAATGAAATGGATTGAGAGAGAGGAGAACATATTAAACGGGGATTGAAGAAGAATTGCAACAAAGGGGATTAGGGTTTGAAAATTGGATCGAAGGAGAAATGAAAGGGGATTAGGGTTTCTCGATTGAAAAGGGATCGATAGAGAAGAAATGGTTAAGTGTGTCGTGTTTTGGGCTGGTTTTGGATTTAATTACGTTTTTGTTTATTTTTGGGCCTAATTGTGGTCACAAATCAGTCGCAACTTACCGACTGTTATATTTTAGTCGCTGAATTAGTCATGATTTGGTGATTATATTACTACTGTTTGTATTAGTCGCTAATTAGCGACTACTATGCGACTGATATCTATGATTTAAATAAAGGCAAATCAGTTGTCAAATAGTCGGAACTCGTAACAATTAATAGTTCAGTCGCTAAATGCAGTCGCTAAATCCATGTTTTCTTGTAGTGGTCTTCTGAACTCAGTTATACCGTGTTTATTGTTCTCTTCCGACTTTTTCGATGGTTTCAAGTGTTTCTTTTTCGACTTTAATTTCTTATCTTATGTCTCCCATGTATAGGACTTTGATTCTAAAAAATTCTAGTTTTCTGTCGGCTTTATATTTCAAATCTGTATTCCATCCATGTATTTCAAAACTGTATCCTTTTCAAGTTTATAATAAAAAGTTTTTTAGTGAAAAAAAAAAAAGTTTGGGCAACAAAAATCTGACCATAACTCCAAACATAAATACTAATTTTGTACGCAATAATGCATAATATTTCACATTTAAAAGAAGAAATTGATTGTGAAAGTTATATAGCTGTACGTATGATGTCCAGATTACAGTTGTAAGCCATTACAATTCCATATTTACCCAAAAAAAAAAAAAAAAGGTCCGAGAAACTTGAAATAAAATTATAATGATTAAAAACTTAATTATCGTAATAAAGAAGAGAACATCACAATGAAGAATTCCTTCTTGTATAAAGCAACCACACCCCCTTAGCTTCCCTCACCGTCATCATTCATCATCTCTATCTCTCTCTCCAGAAACAGCAATGGCCGTTTCTTCATCTCCATGGGCTCTCTTGGCTCTGTTCTTTATGGCTTTTTCTACGGTAATGGCAATTCCTCCACGGAAGGCCATTGATGTGCCATTCGGCCGTAACTACGTCCCAACTTGGGCTTTTGACCACCAGAAGCAACTCAATGGCGGTTCCGAACTCCAACTCATCCTCGACAAATACACTGGTACATTTACTATTGCAATATTTTGGAATGAGCAAGATCGGTCTAAAGCGTAGGCAAATGAAGTTATAGACTTTTTAATGTCAAAATATATATTTTTATACGAATCGAAATAATTTTGAACTTTCAACCCATAATCTCCAACAATTGTTTTTTCATTAACTAAAAGCATACAAAAGAGGCACAATTTTTTTTTTTTTTTGGCAAGATATCCAAAAATGTTGGTCAAGCCCTTATCTAAATTAGCTAACTCTCTAACTATTTTTACTTGTGTATTCAATACAAACAGGGACAGGATTTCAATCCAAAGGATCATATTTGTTCGGACATTTCAGTATGCACATAAAGCTGCCGGCTGGAGATACTGCCGGAGTGGTCACCGCTTTCTATGTATGTGTCACAGATCTCATATTTTACTAATGATGTCACTAATACAAATCTAATAATAACAGAAAAAATAAATTAATGTGTGAAGCTGTCGTCTACTAACAACGAGCATGACGAGATAGACTTCGAGTTTCTTGGGAACAGAACGGGACAACCAGCGATATTGCAGACGAATGTGTTCACAGGAGGAAAAGGAAACAGAGAACAACGCATCTATCTCTGGTTCGACCCTTCAAAGGCTTACCACACTTACTCCATCCTCTGGAATCTCTACCAAATTGTGTATGCACTTTATCTTCATTCCTTACACTACACTTACTTGTATATTATATGTTATAAAGAAGTTGTCAGGATAAACATGGTCCTACCACTAATTATTATTTCTTTTTCATATCTGGTCGCATTTTCAAATTATTATTAATATTTTATAAATTAACCTCGGGCGTGACCGAATCTTGACATTGTGAAAAGTAGTGGGGTATTAGCAAGATTTTCCAGAGAGACAATTGAGTCAAAAAGTCAAAAAAAGTTCAGCTTTATTAAAAGAAAATTATAATATTGAAATAAGCTAACATTAGTGACTCACTCAAACCTTTTCATGTGTATCTATGTGGGGTTTCAATTTTTAAATTATGAGAGTCATGTTTTCAAACCGGTGTGGTTAACTAAACCTGGTTTAATTAAATTTTAATATTCTTTATCAGATTCTTTGTTGACAACATACCAATCCGTGTGTTCAAAAACTCTAAGGATCTTGGAGTGCGTTTCCCATTCAACCAACCGATGAAGCTGTACTCGAGCCTTTGGAACGCTGATGATTGGGCCACGCGGGGCGGTTTAGAGAAAACCAATTGGGCCAATGCACCTTTTATAGCATCCTACAGAGGATTCCACATTGACGGTTGCCAAGCTTCTGTAGAGTCCAAGTATTGTGCGACCCAAGGCCGCATGTGGTGGGACCAGAAAGAATTCCGCGACCTTGATGCCTACCAATACCGTCGTCTCAAATGGGTGCGCATGAAGTGGACCATCTACAACTATTGTACCGACCGGACTAGGTTTTCCGTCATGCCAGCGGAATGTAAAAGGGACAGAGACGCGTGAGTACTTTAAATGGTTTTAATGCGTCGGACTATTATTAATTTATTATTATTATGAATTATGCTTTTGTTCAAGAGATTGATAAATGTATGTTTGTTGGTCCGTTATGTTTTATGCTTTATTTGGCCCTAAATTTACTTGTTATTATTCTATTGTTTATGTTTCTTATGAATTACATGATTTTATATGATGTTTAAACTTACAAAGTTTATTCTTTAACGTTGTAAAAAGTGCATTTGGTATAACATCATCCTGATTAATATTATTATTTCCCATTGAAACTTGACCGGCCGCCTTATTCTAATTTCTATATGAGACCCATGAGCAAAAACTCCTCCCACCGTCACATGTGTGTTGGGTTGCAGTTGCGAGACTGTTTAATTATACTACAGTAATTTCAAAATTGTATATATTTTATAAGTAAGGGCATCTCCAATGGTATTCTATTTTTAGAGTACAATCATCTTCAATGGTACTCTATATCGAAATGAACAGTGTTTTATATTTGAAGTAATACTGTTCATTTTTCTATTTGTGGAATAATTTTTTTTATCTACAAAATAATCTTCTAAATTTTATATATTTTTATTATGTATACTAGGTTTTGAGCCCCGCGAACTCGCGGAAAAAATAAAGTATATATATATCTATATATATATATATATAACAAAAGGTAATGATATTTAGATGTAAATATCTAATTTTTAAAAATAACTATTATTGTAAAAAATAAATAGATATAATTTTTAAAAATATAAAGATACAAATACAAAAGAAGCCGTACAAAGCAATTAACATATTTCTATTTGAGTTCATAGTTTACGATTAATGTAACAAAATATAACTAAACATATATAATTATACAATTGACATTGAGAAGAAGTTAAGCAACGATTATAACAAACATGATCATTTTTATCGATAGAACTCAATCGTTGATAGATATATTTTTATAATGTGAAGATTCTAAAAACATTATCATAATATAAAATATTAAAATCTTTTAACAAAGAGAATAAAATTCTAGCACAAATTTTTTTTCAAAAAACTTAAATTTGTCATGATTTGTAAAAAAATTGTAAAATATTTTATACAAGATTTCAAACCATTAGAAATAGTTTTGATACATTTTAAATCAACATTATCTTTCGGAAACATAAAATTATCTTGAATTTAAAACATCATATAACATTGGACATATTATATTGGCTTAACAAATTTTTAACTGTGTGATATAAAGAGATTTTTTAACTCATTAGTTGTATCAAAAATATACATTTGAGAGAACTTTGGTGGCTCACCATCACATGGTAGTAGAGACCTAATAAGATGATAATTTTCACCATAGACCTTGAAACAATACATCTCATATATATTTTGAACAGAATCATTAATTTCTGCACCCATTGAAGTAAAAGGTAGGATAGAATTATATATTCTTATATATTAGAGAAACAAAGACTCATTTAAAAGTTTAACTAATAACGGTGGAGGCTCATGAGCAGTAGGGAATAAAACACGACTTTGTTTGCAACAAACTGAGAACAATGGCAATGACCATTTACTAACTGCATCTGTTTCAGTACTTTCTAATGATCAAACCCAAACATTACAATTAGGACATTGCATTAAGTAATTATTTGATTCATCTTTTGTGGTCTTCATCCTTTTCATTTAAATTTTTAACATTATTAGATCTAATATATTAAAAAAAATAACAGTTATGATAATAGAAAGTCACTATTCCAACTTTTTTAGGATAATGTTATAATTTGATATTGGTTGAAAATCACCATCTATTCAAAAATTAAGTTTTAATTAATATATGTAAATTAACATTCCAAAAGTATGTTTAAAAAAAAATTATATAATTTAAAAATATATTGCTAATCAAAGATTGTTGTTGGGAGAAACTTTCTAATTCTATTGAATTTCTAGTATTCATTGATTTTTTATACTTTCCTACAAGCAAAATGTTTTTTTTTTAAATATATTATATCAATTTCATATTAAACTTTTACACCCTTAAATGGAGGATACATAATAACTAAATTTGATCATATATTATTGAATAAATAATACATTCTTTGTTTAACAATAGTGAACTCGTATATCTTATACTAATAGTATTAGAAAAACTTGTAACTGTAGCAGATAGTTCAATTTTATGGCGTTTAACAGGTGAATTGTATGCTTGATAAATAAAATATTTATCCATCTCTAAATGAAAATAAAAACAAAACTGTGTTTTATTGTATATATATATATATATATATATATTTATATATATAATTTGATAGAAAGTTGTATCTTCTTAATGAAAATATTGCCTCTTCAATAGGTAATTATGTCTGTATTTTAACAAAATGCAATGCTTCAATATTGAAAATAAATTGTTTAAATTTTGAACAGTTGCAATGATTTAATAACTATTAACTCAAGAGGTGCAATGATTGGTAAATAAACCTTATATTAACTCAAGAGGTGCAATGATTGGTAAATTAACCTTAATTTCAAGAGTTCCAATGTTTAGTAAATAACTATAAACTCAAGAGTTGCAATGGTTGATAAAATGACTATAATATCTAGAATTGCAATGGTTAGTAAAATAACCATAAACTTAATAGTTGCAATGGTTCACCAAAATAATCATAACACTTAAATCTTCAACATTCATTTCCTATTAACATGTAATCATAGATTCACTAAATAAACAACACAGGGTCGGGATACAATGAAGAGTTACCCGCACAAGTACCTGGAGACCAAGGTTTACCAACTACGGCAGTCCGGTCCTAGTATCGAGGGATCAGAGCCATGTATGAGTGATTCATTTGAGCGGGATATTATTTGAGTTTCCCTCCATTTGACAATAGGAATATGTCTTAGTCTGATTTAATTGCCCATACCCTTACAAGCCCACAAGAATGGCATTTAATGCTTTTTCTTTACGTGTAACAGGTGAAAGTGACTTTTCGCAGAAGCCAAGGGAAAAGGAGAGGTTCAGCGAAGATCCATACCGTGTCTGAGCCGCCAACCCAACTCATACAAAGAAAACAAAAGGGACGCGTCAAGGGATGGTCTCGTTGCAGGCAGAATACGCCAAAGAAAGTTGGTGAGACCATCAGAAGCATGACGCTATCACAAGATTCGAATTCAGTCAAGTCGGATCATAGGCCGATCCACCCGATCCGCCACCCATGGGCCAACCCGAGTCAGGAATTCCCTATAAATACTTTACCCTTTCCTACGGGGAGGGGGTTCACACTCTTAGCCATCTTAAGTCTCATAATATCTTTCTAGATACTTGTGGTTCTTAATTCCAGACATTCTACACCATTCTGACCATCTTTCCGGTCATTTTCACTTCATTTTTTCTCCATGGCGGTTCCTAAACCGTGGAGCTCCTTTACTCTCAAAATTTTATTTTCTCTCTTTCCACCGTAAAAAGTCCATTCTTATTCTATGACCCGAGTAGATCCTACCTTTCTCAAGGACTCTCGGCCCACCTTCTATCCTAAAGTTTTCCGAATTCTTTCCGCCTCTGAACAGCTATATTGTGGTCTTCTTTGAGCTGTTTTCTGACTTGAGCGTCCGAGTGCCTTTGGAAAACACACTCCTATCGTGATTTCCAAGCCCTGACGTCTTTTCTGTTTTGCAGGAGACTTGCCCCCAGCAGAGGACTAAAAATCCCCTAAACATTAACCATCTACTTAAAAAAAAAAATCTTCTAACACCATTTTAGTAGCAATTGCTTGCAAAAGAACAATGTATTATTCAAGGAATTCTAAGTTAATTTGAAGTTTTTCAAAATTAGAAAGCATTATTAAAAAAATTCAATGAAATAAATAATGAAGAATAGAACAAAATATATACAATCTTGAAAAGACATAAGCATTAAGAGGAGCAACTTTTGATAATCAGCGGTTATGTGTGAAATAGTACAATTCATAAAAATAAAACGAAAAAAACATAATTGTAGAATTGCAACCATTAAATAAATTAGTAGTTATACACGAAAATTTATAATTAAGTAAAAATAAAAAATAAACAGAAAGACACAATGGTTCACTCATAGTTTTTATTTTATAGAATTCCAAATGGTACAGATGAATAGTTATAATAGTTTAGAAGAAGCATAGTTCCAACAGTTGCAATGGTTTAATAATAATTAACTCAATAGAGGAGCAAAATATATACAATCTTGAAAAGACATAAGCATTAAGAGGAGCAACTTTTGATAATCAGCGGTTATGTATGAAATAGTACAATTCATAAAAATAAAACGAAAAAAACATAATTGTAGAATTGCAACCATTAAATAAATTAGTAGTAATACACAAAAATGTATAATTAAGTAAAAGTAAAAAATAAACAGAAAGACACAATGGTTCACTCATAGTTTTTATTTTATAGAATTCCAAAGAGTATGAATAGTTATAATAGTTTAGAAGAAGCATAATTCCAACAGTTGCAATGGTTTAATAATAATTAACTCGCCATGGTTGGTAAAATAACCTTAAACTCAATAATTGCAATGATTAGTAAATAACAATAAACTCAAGAGTTGCAATGGTTGATAAAATAAAAAATAAACATAAAGACACAATGGTCCACTCATAGTTTTATTTTATAAAATTCCAAAGGGTAAAAATGAATGGTTGTAATAGTTTAGAAAAAGCATAATTACAACAGTTGCAATAATTTAATAATAATTAACTCAATAGATACCATGTTTGATCAAATAACCTTAAACTTAATAATTGCAGTATTTAGTAAATAACCATAAACTCAAGAGTTGTAATGATTGGTAAAATAACCATAATCTCTAGAATTGTAATGTTTAGTTAAATAACCATAAATTCAATAATTGCAATTGTTCACTAAAAAAAGGATAACACTTAAATCTCCAATATTCATTCTTCATTAAAATGTAATCATATATTCACTAAATAAAGAAGACATATACTATTAACACACGAAAATACACAACCATATTATAGCAACCATTCATAAAATTAGAAGTTATACACGAAAAGATACAATCTAAAAAATATTTAATGGAAATACACAACGGTTCATTCATAGTTATTCAGGGAAAGTTATAATTTTAAAAAATTAAACAAAAAGACACAACCTTATAATAATAATTTTTTTTAAAATAACTGTCACACATGAAAATGCATGATTAATAAAAA